TTCATCTTTCTTTCATAATCCCCTTCCTGCCATCGGCTCTTCATGACCAGCATATTTCTGTGGATTACTTCTCTCGGGTATCCGTTACCGAGGAAAATCCGAGTCAATTTTCCTATCCTTCATCTCAGAATTCCCCGTCCATTAATCGTAGGTTTTTGATGATCATACTCCTTAGTGCGCCTACCTAGATTCTATAGTTGTGATGAGACTCGAAATTGAGTATTATTTCGGCATATTACTTCCACAGGAATAAGTTTTTCTTGAGCGTCCCAGTAGAGCGAATGGCCTTCACACCAAGGAAAACCAAACGCTCTATTTCCTCTATATTCATTATGAACTTAATTCTTTCATCAATCCTGTTCATAAACTTTAGAAAATCCTACAATTTTTATCTTCCATGCGATCATATTGCAAAGTAGTCGCCCAGGTACCGCATAAGAACTCTTTGCCGCAGCGATGACGTATTGAAATTCTCATCTTATTTTGTTCATGTATACATTTGTCAATAGAGTTGGGAGCGGTGATCCCATATGAAGTCCAAATGTCTGTTCATAGATGGTGCCGTTGAATGTGAAGTAGGTAGTAATTATTTTCAAGTTGATTAATCCTTTCTGATACTCTCTGCTTCCAGGATCCAAAATTTCTACATGGGTCTTTAGCACCTTTTCTCCATAAATGTTTGTGGATATAGATTGTACAACAACACTTACCAGTAATTCTTTTTCTTCCAGTGTCATGTTTTTGATCTCCTGAGAAAATTCATGAGTGCTTCACAGTGTTTGATAATATGTCATTTACCTTCTTGAGTTTCATACATATAAACTTTGCTAATTTATGTGTTGTTCCAAACTTGTTGTTATCTATCAGCCTCAGTGGTTCTCCTTCTTTGTGTAACTTCGGTAACCCGTAGGCTGTTGGTGGTTGTGCATCCGTTTTTATTAGTGAATTTATTGTCCATCCATTGGTCTCTCCGTTCCCGTGCATATCTTTCAGCATGTCCCGTAAGGTTCCATTTCTCTGCATAGTCGGGTCCTTTTTAAGTACACGATACATAGTCTTGTCTTGCAGTATACATTCCATTTTCTCTGTATATTGTTTTCTATCTATTACAATTGTTGCTCCTCCTCGGTCCGCTTAAAGAGCCAATTGTTAATTCCTTTCTAGGGTCATGCGTACCCTCGCAAATCTGTTCGTGTACGTTGGTTCGTAATGTTTAACTGACAATTGGTCAACGGATCGACTTCACTTGTCTCTTTGACGAGTTGTAGGGTGGTGCTCAGATTGCAATGCTTTTTGACGCTGTCAGTGGAACGTCTGGGAATATATCGAGTCGGCGGTCCGACTATGGAAATTATCATACATACTATGCACTCTAGACAAGGTGTGTTCCTCTAGGTCTTCCTGCCAATATGACCAAGTTACGAAAACAAGGCCAAACAACTTCTATACAACGAAAGGATACTGCAACCATACAAAAGACCACATCATCTTGGTTTTCATACCTTCGAAATATTACTTATGTTTAATTTAAAGATGGAAGAAGATGGAGAATTTTGAGCCGTTGTCCAAAAGAAGACGACTCAGCTTGCTACCTGAGTGATGTTTCTAACCAAATTAACACTCGTTCAACAGCCATGTCGAGCTCATCAGCCACAACAGACTTGCGGAGCTACGTAATTCCAGAGCAGCTTCTCCTTCGATTATTAAACCATACAAGCGGATTCGGATTGGTGGTTTATTAACCCAACTTTCATACGTACTGACTTACATCTCATCAAGTCTACCAGGGTTACTTACGGACTTACCCAATCTCA